GCATACAACTTACAATTCTGCGAACATGGAAGACCGAGTATTTAGCATTAACCACTCTTACTAAGGTTTGAACGGATACAAATAATTCCGTTAACTAAAACTGCCTATTCACTGCGCAACCTATTTAAGCAACCCAAATGAGAGAACGAACTTTTGAATTCCTTTTAACAACTTGCAGCTTACTCCATGGAATTTGTAGGCATACCGCTGTGTTTTCTCGGTACTTTAAAGGCATTTTTTGCAGAACATACGTTATGGCTGGATTTGTAATGGCTTTAGCAGCACCACGTGAAAAGTTATAATGCCTTTCCACATTCGATTTAAACTGTATAATTAGTCATTTAAAGGATCAAAAAGTCCTTTTTTTCATTTTATATAATCAAGTTACCCACCGTTATTTATTCACTCACCCGAACTTCGAACTCACAAAGTCGCTTCCAAGTTTGTCATTCAAACGGTTAGAAGTTGTGATTGCCGTGTTGTTCGCAATCCTGCCATTCATCGACGTTCCATGTGAGCACACGCGCGCTGTATCACGTCGAGTGCCTCGTTTCTGGCTCTCAACTCATCCTTCCATACAGCATCATGTGCTCGAACGCCAGCCTTTGTTTGTCGTGGCACACCCTCATCGCGGGTGCACATGGATGATGACTGAAGGCACTCGCTTAATGTTGGCTCTTGCTGACGTTGTTCATGATATTGACTGTCTTGCCTTGGATGTTGGAGCACATGGTCGCCTCAAGAGAAGGAGAACTGATCCTGAATTCTTATGTTAGTAAAATCCTCTCCAAACATCGAGTTTGAGATTGTGAATCATTTTTCGGGAGCAACCACTGATTTTATATGGTTAGCAAAAGTAAAGCAACATAAACCTTACAATTTTTGCAAACAGTAGTCCACTTAGAGAAAGGATTAGAGAGCAGAATTTGGAAGGGGATTATATTTATGCGCAGGCAGTAGACGGCTAAGAAGTTTGCTCTCAATAAGAATTAAAGGCTTCTGTGCTTGCATAAAGCACCAACTAGATCGGCAACTGGTGTAGCCAACACCAAATATTTTAGACTAAACTGCTCTGCTTAGCTAGAGTAATGGAGGTACTTTCAACTGCAGACTGCAGTTGAAAGTACCAAAATGTTGAAGAATATACTTTCGTGAAAAGGAACGGAGCGACACTAACATATTTGACCCAATTATTATTGTTCTCTCCACCTTGTTCCCCGCCCCAAGTCAGAACCCTTCAGTGGCTAGCATTCAATAGGCTGGGACTCCTAACTAATCATGATGCAATTCCAAAGACCGACATAGCAGGTAACCAGCGTCCAGACTAAAATACACCACCTTGTTATGCGGCTTTATCATCTGTTGTTGCTTTTTTATCCTAAAGCCGTCTTATGGTGGCCCATGAGCTCACAAAATCTAGCAACCAACCATGAATTATCCCCACTGAGGGAGAATTGGAAGTGCAGACCTCCCCAACTGCACCAAAGAGACAAGCCTAGATCCTGTCGAACTGAAGCCTCCTAGCGCCGGCATCGCGACAGCTCTCAACTGGTACGGGTACAATCAAAACCAGTCCCTCCAAAAGTGAAGATAAGAAATAAAATTTCATCCATTTATTGGGTTTATCATTTGTCGTCCGAAAAAGCAGCGTGCTGCGACAGCCACCTCAGGCCTGGGTTTGGAATCCTTATGTACGCTGGCCTGTGAAACTGGCAACACGCGTACCTTGCAGTCAAAAAACTTTTACAATGAGAATATCAGCGACAATCAATGTCTGTTGGCGGTGGTGACGTTGATGGTATGTTTGTGGCATGGCGTTCATTCATCACATTTCAAACCCTCACTCCCATACAGTTACTTATCTGCGTTGAAAAATGGCGCGAAAACACACAAACACACAAACGCGGCCGTCCACTTGGGTGTACTTGAAGATAAAATGAAGAGAGAATGGGCAGAGGAAGTTGAAAATGAAATTACAAAATGAATGAATGAAGTATAACAAAAGAAATTAGAACAGGGACGATGATGAAAAGAAAGAGGACCGGCGGTGCAAAAAACAGGTAAAAAGGATGGGAAGGACACACGTAACTCACCCACGCAAATACGTACATACAAGGTTGTCGGTAAGTCAAAAATTTGAGGTGGAAAAGAGAAAAAAAGGTGGGAAGGGATGAGGATGGGCGTTAACAAAGGGCAGTGTTTAATGACCTCCACCGACGAAGAATCCACGAAGGGGCGCGTAGACATAATCATTAAAAGAGACGACGAGTGGCTGGCGCTGCAGCTGCCCCGCTAAATTCGTCCAAAAGTCACCTTGTCGGGAAGACCCGGGACCAATTGGGCGAGTCTCGAGGGCTGCTATAACCACTCCACAACAGACGATGCCTAGAACTGCAACAGCCTCCATGGTGTAGAGCAGAGTGCGACTGGAGCAGAAGGAAACGGATTTGGCAGTGGTGCTAGCGGTAGGTTTGGACTCGTGCAAGGCAACCTCTCCGTTCGGTAGCGTCGAAAGAGCTGATGTCGACTTCTGGTGCTCATTGGTATTCTGTGCCGAATCAATAACTTGATCAATCTCCTTCACAGCACGCAAACACTCGGAATCGCGTGCCGCCGACTGTGTGGTGTGGTTGGGTTGATGACGCAACAGTGTGGTAGTCTGAGGGATGATGAATAAAATCGTGTTGAACAACCTGTCAGGATGTTAGATACATGCATAATGGACTTAACACCATAGCTATTTCGCAAAAGAACTGTTGAAAAGGATGTTTCGCTCGAAACCGTGCGCGCCGTTAAAAACTACAAATACACCTTGAAAATGTTTCAACCAATCTTACGAATCCCATTGGTCGAGCGAGTCAGATCACATTCAAAATATTTTTTATTTATGGGCTTATGATCCCTCACTCTTATTAAGAGACTTGTTTGACTACTCAGCAGCTTCATTCGCAGTAATACCCTTGAGAGCAGATTTCTCACGCTTGTCAATATCAAGATAAGTGAAGTGATAAATTTTTTGCCTTAACAAATTACTGCAGTAATATCCGGAATTACAAGAAGAAAATCTGACATTTGGCTCCCATCTAGCCCGATGCAATGAATATGACTCTGAAACGACGTAAAGTGAGGCCGACACCCACCTCGTCGACGTCAGTAGAACAAGGCGGAGCAGAAGTGCCAGGAGTCACAGAGACCGGTACTACGGTGACGGGGTCGGGCACTTCACTGATCTTGGGTTCCACATTTATCTCCGAGGTCGGTGTTACTCCCAAGTCGCTGGCTATGTTCCTGACTCTGTACGGACAAAGAGGGGAAGATAAGGTGGTGCGAGTCTGTGGCGCCAATGGCATGCATACGGGAAGTGGGACATTCACTTCAATTTTAATAAAAGACATGCAGCGACCTAATGCTGATTGTATATGCTGAGAAATACCTCCCAGCTACTTGACATTCAGATTTGCTAGATAGCGGTTCTTTTAAAAATGAGGGATAGCTCCACAAACGTCAGTTTTTGTTCAAAAAGGTGAATTATTATGAAAAACAAGTCAAGATTAGCTAAATAAAACTTTAAGAATAGGTAAACACCAGAACAAGGTGCAAGACTAAGCCCGGCTGAACTGTATTTAAAGGAAAAAACAATGGCTCCGCAGAGATTACCTTCGCTCTGAAATTTCTTAAATATGAGTTCATTCAAGTCAGTGTCCACTCCTGTGAATAACGAATTTTTGCGCTCTGGACCTTGTGTTATCAAGCTGTGAGCATAACTCACGACTGACTTAGTTACCATATTGTTACCTCCAACACTTTTGCTTTGTACTCAGTGAACGAAAACATTGCCTTCTGGATGAAGAAATTGACCGGATACAATGCGATCTCATGCACAAATAGAAGGACCACGTGACGAGAACAAGATGGAGGAGTACATGTGGAGGAAGTGGAGGAGGGCGTCGTGGCACGCGTTTTGCACGCCAAAGCCACATCAGCGCGCGGATAGCGCAAAGCGCACCAGTGCGCATCCACACGCACTCACGCACGCAAAGCACAAACACCACAACAGTGTGGAACCCAGCGTTTGGGGGAGAAGCGCGAGAGCATTGATTACCACACGAGACCTCCACACTGCAGCCAATGGGCTAACGAAGTTTATCACCACGTGGGTTCAGCGGATTGGTCGGTTCATGGCTTGAGATTTTTTTTGCCATTGCCTCCAGAACTACTGCCCACATACATCTCCTCCTCCTCCTCCGCCTCTTGCACATCGACTCAAGGCGAAATACTGGAGCGAGGGACAAATGCATACATTCGGAAATGGATTGGTGGCATGCAACCAATCAATGCGCGACAACTTACGAAGTCACAAGGGAGTTCAGCAAAGACACGACACCCGACCTAGAGTAGGAGACACACTGACACCTACACCTGCTATCTTATGAGTCAAAAATTAAAATTCGAAATAGAAAGAAGCTGAGGGATGATTGTGTCACTTTATCAGCTCCAATGTAATAACCCCAACAGGCTGAGACAATGTCAACAAGCGATTCAGCGGACACAGTTTGCACGACTAGAGCATGTTGAAAAAAGCAAATTAGCAAAGTCTAAGGGAGCTGACAAAGTGAATTCGCGTCTAATGTGTCAGTGATGCTTTTAAGCTAGCACATCAGCTACAACAAGTGTTTCTTGCATGCAAAACCACATGCGACGGCATTTCACAAAAAAATCAGAATATCGGGACAGTCAGCATGTCTGAGAGGTTGGATGCGGAAACTGAATAAGCCACATTGAAGAGACAGCACTTAAGCAAGTAGGTATTCACATAATTAGACGACAATATTGTCCATCCTACTGACATCATATGCATTGTCTATCGGCAAATAGGCCTGTGAACCTAGTTGAGCATTGCCAGTAAGCTAAATCGTATTTGATAAACCAATGTCTAGCTTAAATTTGGAAGGCACGAGGATGCAGAAAGCGGTTGGCATAGCAAATGGGTGTACGAAGGGGAACCATATTCTCGTAGCTGACAAACTACGCAGTGATAATGGACAGGAGTTATCGAGACAGTCAAACTAATAACGTCACGGGATCCAGTTCACGCTAACAAAGAGACAACAGCTAAAGTCTGCTAGTGATCAACTTACCCACTATCAACTGCACAAGGAGCAGCTGTCTGTTCTTCGGTCGCGGGGATGACGGCTAAAAGGAAGACAATAAAGCAATTTGGCTAAGGCCACGGGCTTAGCAAGAAAGCTGACATAAGCGATGCTGTGTTGCCTGTAACCAAAGTCAGCACGAAGCATTAATAGTGCCCAAATCTACATTCAAGTTTGTGACACCAACTAACATTGCAATGGGGACTCCTGCGTCTCATCAGAACTATCCCCTGAAAGAAGGAAAGAGGAGGAAATAGAAGGTAAGAACCCACAACTATTGACGCTGTTTCGCTGTTGATAATCTTAATTACAAGCGGTCTTGACATGCAGTATCAACAAATCAGCGTGCTTTGCAGAATGGCATGGAAAGAAATGAAAGATAATTAACTAGGTTTGACGTTACTTGAGGCTTCCAATTCTTCACCTGAAGTCTGTGGGATCGGTTCTGAAAATGGGAAGATTTCGCTGATTGGCTTACATTTAATTTTTAGCATAAATTCAAGTAAGCCTTACAAATTTATAATGAATAACATAAAAACCAGTCAGAAAAGAGTTGACGTTAATATAAACGTTTATATCGGGCCATATTTGAATAATTTTGCGATTCTAATCTCATCTTATGGTCCCAACTTTGCTATCAAACCAGCCTACACGCGCCTCGGTTGAAAACAAGTAACGTAAATTAATCACCTATTTTTCGCCATGTTATTAAGGAAGTCGAAAATAATAATTCTGCCTCCCTTATTTTTTTCCTAGTTTCCAAAAGATTAAGGAGACTGGTTGCATCGCACAACAGACAGATTCTTACGTCGCTTAGCGGTGTCGCTCATTGGGAAAGAGCCGGGATCAGCAGTGCGAATGCGGGCAGGAAAAGTGGCTCGCGCTTCGAGGGGATCAAACTCTCCCTCGTGGCTCCTTGGACGACGCAAGCTCGAGACCCTGGTGAAATAAGGAACACATGCTTCTACTATCGCTGTTGGTGGCAATAGTAATTGCTCTACAGCCATAGCTTTTGTGTAAACTTTGAATGTCAGGCATATACATACTCAAAATGGGCGCTTGTGAATCGGCCGCGTGCCAGAAGTAGATAGAAAGTAGATATGCAAACCACAGACTACTTCAATACGGTTGACAGAAGAGAACCTTGTTTGGTCACGTGAATGGTGGCAATGGGAATGAGGCGAATGAAGTGCATGAAAGGGAAGCCGTGAAGCAGAGCAATACCCACCTTACAAAGGATGGCTGAGGGAGCGATTCTGCGGAATTAGTTAGTGATTTTAGTTCCATTTGGGATTTACCACTAAAAGAAAAATAAAATATAGACAATTCAACACCTTACTGCGAAAAATATTCGAGAAAACAAAAACTGTTCAAGGGACTTACATGAATCTGTAGGAATGGCTTCTACGGAAGAAGCTGTTTGTAGTTTTTGTGGTCTTGGCTTCACTGGCTTGCCGCAATCTAGAGAGAAAATGAGAAAACTTGGATAATTATCTGGTTGTTAATGTAGTAGAAACAACACAGAAAATACAAGAAGCACATATTTTCTCTCCGACTCCTTTGAGTAAACGCGCAATTTGAAATTTGCCAAACAACATAACTATCCTCCCATGGAAAAGTGATTTTAACACAAGAAGACTAGCTATAAAATACTTCTGTTGTGCGAATGAAGACGAAGGGTGAGTGTAAATCATAATCATAAATCAAATACAATTTGAGGTGGCATACAAAACAATTTTGGATTTAGGTAATTTATAGACCGTAGTGGTGGGTAAGGCGAACTTAGCGAATTTTGGCTCCAACAGAAATGGGATAGGAAAAAATATGGAAAGGCTGGAATTCGGTGTAAAATTTTCCCTCGAAAACACTAGTGGATCCCGCGTGGACACTAGTACTTGAGTTGCACAACAGCCTTTTTAGCAAATTCGTTGCCAATTAACTTATTTATGCACGTGTGGCATTCAATCCAAAAAATAACATGCAGATGAAAGCTTGACTCCTCCAAAACTGATGTCACCAAAAGCGAATAACGCAATTCAAACGCGTCCCTTTATGCCAGGAAAACAGAAATGCAGAGACACAAATACAAGTACGAATGATTGAAACGAAATCGCCATGCATACATGTCAAAAATTCCCTCGGTTACAGTGACCGCGAGCAATAAAAGCACAACACTCACGTGAAGAAGCTCTGACGATCCACTGTCCATTTCCAAAGTGCAAGAGCAGCGGCCTTGGTGTCACAACGGAAGGTCACAACCCGCGATTTGGCCTGCAATCTCAGAGGGAAATAAAAAAGATCCATGCTCAGAAACGGCAAACGAGTGTTTGTTGCCAAGGTGAACTTGAACGCAAAACGAGGAGAAGAAGCATGCGATTTTGTTAAGAGCAACTAGGAAGATGGTGACGCTTTCAACAACACCGGCGCAAGACAAAAGGACTACTACTACAGTCGCTACTGTCGTAGCTGTTGTTACAGGCACAATTCGTGTGTAAGAGGGGCACACACTGTACCGGCTTTTTCTTTTGTTTCGCCGTCTTGGTCTTCTTCTTGTTGTTGCCGCTTTTTCTTTTCTTCGTCGTGACTGACTTCTGTAAGTCTAGATCCTGTCCGAAATTCGAGGGTGGGAAGCAAGAAAAGAAGAAAACAGTGAGAACATATAGTGGCTATCCCACGAGTATGGCCACAGTCAACTGTTCCCTCCTGGCAAAGTTCGCCACACACTTTTGCGCTACTAATAGCCACACTGCTACGAATAAAGGCAAATAAACAGCCAATTCGACAGATTTGAAACGTGGCTTTGGAGTGTGCTACTACAGTCAAAATGTCATTGATGTATTAGGTTTAAGGTGGAAAATCCCAGGTCAATCACTACTTTTTAGGAATCCAAATTTAAGAAAAAACAATGGATAATTCAATCGTAGCACAAAAATAGTAAATGTTGTAGTGTTGCAGATAGAACCTGCCTTCGATTGGGACTAATGTCAGTAAATGATACGATATGTTACATCCTACATTACTTAAAGCAAAGATAAAATTAACTCTTTGCAGGGCTAAAGACAGAACCAAGCAATCCTGAGGTGTTATTTGTAGCGTTGTTTTTGTCAGTTACATCCACATTTTCTAGACACAACCCGATACGCCTTGTTAAGAATACTAGTCAACCTGTGTAAAGTTTATTACAAATGCTCAACAGCTTTAGGTAAAAGAAGCACCTCGAATTCCACTTGTCAAGGCAAAGCAAGCACCAATATCACGAAAGACTAATCGAAAGTGAGAGTTTGTGACATTTTCCAGACTTGAACGAAGAGCATCGATGAGTCATGCATTCTAAAATTATGGTTTAAGTCTATCGGCGTCGTAGCTTTCGATGAGACTGCATTTCCTAAAATGGTGAGATTGTGCACAAACATGTTTGCGTATGTGATTGTACATGTTCGGATGGCATGCCCACCCACTCGCACACAGGCACATTCGGGTACACGAAGAGAGCATACAAAGCAAATGAGAACACCTTGTATGCTGGTTGCCTCTGAAATCGCCGTACTGCGCGGAGACTACGCAAGCACTCTGTCTTTCAAAGTAGTCCACAAGTACTCACACGTTTACACAAAACCTCCCCTTCTCGGTTCAAGTTGGCTTAACTCCATGGAAAAGAACGCAGCTTTTCCTTTAAAAGTACAGAGAAATGTAACAACCACAACTTATGTCGGTCTAATGGGCCTCAAACCTGAAAAAGAGTGGAACACATTTCGCCGAGTGAAGGCTAAATGTAGCTGAAACATAAGGATCAAACATATTTTCCCTCAGATTGAGCAATATCAGTAGAATGACAGTGCTTGGTGCACAAGTGAACACCATTTGTTATGGTTATATTTCAATAAGAAGGATAGGAGGTATGAGCTCACCGATTCGGCAGTGGGTTTCAGATAAACAATGAAATCCTTCCCATCGCAGGCAAGTCTCTCAATGCTGTCCCTAAAAGGCAAGAGAAAAAAAGAGGAGTAGGTTCAGCATTGGGACTCTGTTCTCCCCTTCCCCCAGAACACTTTTTCAATGGATGGTTAAAAAGTTCCCACTTAATTTCGAAAAAACTTAAGGAATGTATAATGATGCAGACGGTGCTTAAGCTACCAGTTCACCACGAGATCTTGGTTTAATTGTTTCTATCCTTCATATGAACCTTTGACATAAGGGTGAAGATGATGGTAGCTACCTCTGCAGGCATACTACAGTCATGTTCTGAAGTAAGGCAAGGTAAGGTTTGGGGTAATGAATGACGACGACCAGAGACGGAGAGCTATAGGAAGGGAAGGTATTCATGCGAAATTAGGTGGTATTTATACCTAGAAAGCCTGTCTCGTTTTTAGTCGATAACTTGGTAATGGGCTAATGTGCGCAAACGTTTGTTCATGTGTGCAAACAAGGAAAAAAAGCGTAGGAGGGCCTCTAATCTCCCAAATTGGAAAATTTTTGACCAAAAGGATCTAAGGGACCTTGATTGAAAACTAAACAACAGTGCATTTGCCGTTAAACAAGACACAAAACTCAAGTTACGGAGATATGAAGTTAAGAGATAACAGTGCGTTAGAGATTAGTCGGCAGTAATGCTTGAGATAAAAGAAGAAGGAATATGAGGAGCCAGTAAGCGCATCTACAAGTGTAGAGCTTAAAAGGAAAGAAAAGGAGGGGAGTGGGTGAAGCAATGACATCTTACCATGAATAAGTCCGCGTATAGCTAGGCCCGATGAAGATTTGTGACCCGGATTGGCTAATAACAAAAGAGACACCCAAGCGGATAGACGATGATGCACAGTGGAAAGTGTAGGCAAACACGCGCACACAACTCTGTCGTGCCAACAATTATTTATGACCATGCAACCAACAAATATCAATAATGAAATGTTGGCTTTGTGATTCTTCATGATCCTTCTACTCGAAAATGAACATAGAAAGCAATGCAGTGAGTGCTAAGCTGATGTTTGCCAGAAAGGAGAAAATGCGTGGCTTTGGAAAAATAAGAAAGGGAAAGATAGTTTTCGTTTCTGGTGAAGAAATTTGCAGTAAAGCTGAAAGCGAGGGTCCCTCAATCATATGTGCGATTGTGGTACACGATGTGATATCACACAAGAATAACCCCACTTTACGTCGGGGTTACTGAATTTGACACTCAAAGTGGGATGTTAGTGCAATGATCAAACACCTCGCTCCAAATGCTGGTGTGTCTATCAGAAATAAACAACTTTATAGAATGCGTTTAGCTCCTGTAAAATCATGTGAGAGATGATACACGCGGATGTTACAGTAAAAAATGCCAACGTTTAGAGTATAACAATGATGAATAAGATGTAGCAGTGAGGACAACTGAACGAATGGGCGATTATATCCTCGTATTGGTAATGAAAGGGGAAGGAACACTTACCACTCAAAGTTCTCGCTTGGCTGAAGTCCCACGTAGGTGGTGAGACCAGTATGACGCAGACCAAGGTAAACGGAGCCTGAGGGACTAGACAAGGGGGCTTTGCTGGGTTGATCTTCTTGGTGAGAAACCCCTGCAGGAGAGCCGGCATTGGCATCGCCAGTCGCTGCGGTTTTAATGTTTGCCGAATCGCCTGCCTTCTTCATCGATTTCTCCTTTGTTAGAACCTACAAAAGGACAGAATCGGAATAATGAGTAAAAAAACAAGAGGACAATCTTCATCGTATGCAGAATCAATAATACCTTTACTGGGAAGGGATCTACTCCATATGTTGGTAATTTCGAGGCACGCTTGAGCACCTCAACCTCAGCATCTCTGGCTGTGAGGCCACTGAAGGCAAAAGAAGTGTCAATCGAGGGGCGATAATGTAAGAAGCCGCCAAATTTCCACTTACCGGTATGATTTGTGTCGACTTATTATTTCTGATTCGATTTTCTTTGTTTGATTGAATACGATTTTAAAATTCTTGAAGTATGCATTGTATTCCTCCTCCGATGACAGAGATCCATTCAGCTCAGCTGAGTCATCATCATATGGCGCATCACCATATTCAGCTTTAAAAAATTCAAATTTACAAAGATTGCGAATGCACGAACTGTCTCCACACACATTAAAACTTA